GCCTCAGCTCTCAGGATGCCAATGTCACCATCTTCCCTGAAAAGCCCCCTGGGCCAAGCAAGCCTCTGCATTGGGGCGCAGCTGGAAGAAGCCATTCTTTGGGAGTTAGACTCAAGGATCCTTATGGCCCCCTTCCAACTCAAGATATTCTGCGGTTCCCACACTGCCAGCAGTGATGAGAAGAGCCCATGGGGCAGATTCAGGACAAGGAGTGACACTGACCTGGCCTGCCACTGTCAGCCAGCTCCTCCAGAAGCACGTGCCAGGGGTCAGCAGGCAAGAGCCCTGGAAGGGTGAAGCTTATCTAAAGGGCTCCAAAGCTCTGAAATAGCCCTACACAGTGACTGTTATTTACGGAGAGCATGCAAGGTAAAGAAAGAACTGTATTTTAGAAGACAAAAGGCTCGACTTTGTGACTTCAGTTTCACACCACTGAAATTTGATATAATTAAATCCTAGTTTTCAATAGCCACTTAAAAATGAACATCCCTATGATGCAGACAAAACTGAAAATGGGAAGATACTTTTAATTTAACCTCAAAATCCATTTTTACTCCAGAATCCTACTTCTCCCCAGCTGGAACTTTCTCTTCCTCCTGGCATGAGTGGGAGCAATGGAAAGATGAAGAAAAAAAGAAAAACAAATGGGGCAGAACAGCCAGGGCCTCTCACATGAGCTACAGAGAATGAGGAGGGAGACAAGGATATGCAAGAGATTCCCCGTATCCTGTAAACCAGATGAAAGCAACTCCTCACCCTGCAAAGGTCTGAGGAAAAGGACAAAACTTACCCACCCACAAAGGACACCAATTTTAATCACATACTCAGGACTTTATCCCAGGACCACACAAAAACCCAAACTCAGCACCATAACCGCCTACCACAGTACCAGAGAGACGCAAAACCTTACTTCATTTTTGTTGTTTTATTTTCTTGTTCTTCTTTGCTTTCCATCTCATACACGCAGCATTCAGCACTCTTGCTTCTGGCTGGACTGTGAAGAGCAGCATTTTTCAAAGCACTACAGCCCCCATGGCTGGGTGAGCAGCAAAGGTGCAAGCACAAGCAGTGAACCAGCAGGTGCAGAGGAGAAGCTGCCCCTCACCAGGGGCCCAGCTCCATCCAAAAGCTGACTGCAGCCAGGTGCTGAGCATCTGCAGAGCCTGACCAGCTGGTAGGCAAGGAGGCAGGCTGTTGGCTTCACAGGGCCCCTGGTCCCCAGGGCAGAGGCTGAGCACAGCAGGGGAAAGCAGCCTGTGCTCCCCGTCACGCAGGTGCCCTTCTGGCCGCCCTTCTCTGGTGACACGTGTCGGCAAGCAAGGGGCCTCCTCGAGCAGCCCCCTGAGTGAAGAGGGGTGAGGAGATGGCTCGGCTTTCCCCTGCTCTCCAAAATACCAAGGCTTGATATAGAAGCATTTTGAATGGGACCTTAGCAGAGGAGACTGCCTTATGCTCTGATGTTAAAGCCATTGTTCTAGTACATCCCTTATTACAGCTTTAACCTCAAAGGATGATCCAAACCCTAAAATCCATAAATTTGAAATCTGCTTCTGTCCTAAATCCCTAGACTGAGGAATAACTGATTTAAAGGAGAAGGAAAATAAAAGTGAATGAAGTTCTGTTTGTGGGATCTTGGAGCTAATAGAATAATTTTGGCCCATTACAGTTAACAGCTTACACTTCTGTGGTGGGTGAGCCATGCTCTGCTCCTCCAGTGTGAGGAGGAGCAAGGCCCAAGCTGAGCCCTCCAATGACTTTTCTCTGCAGCAGGCTCACAGAGGAACGCTAGCACAGACTAGTCAGCACCTGCAGTAATCCACATACATGTATTTTTTTACATGCAAAGAGATTGTAAAATACTTCCTCCCCGGTGCAGAAAGGAAACTATTAAAAATAAGAAGTAAAAAATCCCATCTTTCTCACCCATCTGCTATTTCAACTATATGTTACGTAAATTGCAGTCAAAAGAAAACCTGATGTTTCTTCCTGTAACAGACCCATCAAATTTCCAGCAAACACTCAGATTTCTGTTTCTTCTTCCTACCACTGATGCCTTTGATCTTCCTCAGTCTCTGGGATCGCTGGATCTCCAAAGGAATACCACAGCCAAGGACAGAGAATCGGATTTCAGAGGCAGGAGTAACCAACCTGCAAAGCTAAGCAGAACATATGTTGTTCAGACAGGTCACATAAAGGCTATTTCCAATTTTGGGAACATACTAATAATCTGAGGTTTTACACATATATAATCATATGCCCCAAGACTGCTATAATTCTTTATTAGGTTTGCAGCTGTTGTCTTCCTCGTGAATTTATCAGCTTGCATAGTTCTCGAGTAGCTGTTCTTAATTCACTTCAATCAGGCAAGGGGGGTGGGAGGGGGGGGGGGGGCACAAAGCATCTGAGGGACTAAGTAATAGCTACTTAATTCACATTAGAAATGGAGAAAAACAAAAGAAAGATAGATATGGCTGTTCAAGAGAGAATTCAGGAAAGCTATTCTGTTTTAAGAAAGTATAAGGGGCCATAAAGGTACAGTCCAGGACTGAATTCTTTTCACAGAGACACACTTTCATTCTCCATCTAGGTTACCCAGCCAAATAAAGTGGCAGGTGCATTACTGAAGATGGGAACTGGGCCCTCTAGGAGCTACACCAGTTGAAGGAGACTAAAATTCCAGTCCAAAGCCATCGCGACCCAGTGAAAGGACATCCTTGCTGGTCAGTGGGTCTTTGGTGGATGGATCTGTTCAAAGTCAATCATGAGCACTGTCCTCAGGAAAAGCAAAGGACACGGTCCTAACTATCCCTGCATTGCAGCTCCTACTAAAACTGACTGGGAACACACTTTGGGTTTGTAAGAGGTAAAAATTTCCTCTGGTTACTCAGGAAAAGGAAGAATGTGAAATTATCTGCCATAAGCCTTTCCTTTGCTTCGACCAGTTTCACCAAGCAACTATTTCTAACGTTTCTGAATGCCTGCTGGACCCAGTGTTGATGAAGACACGGGGTTTTATAACACTGTATTTTTCCTATAATAGTATACAAAGCCTTACTTAAAACTTTCTTCATCAATTACCTGTCTACAAAACGAAAAGTTGGTGTTACAAACTGCCAGATACTTAATATGATTGACTATGGCTGCTTTTAGTCAGCAAAAGGTCTCCAGGTAACAAATGGCTCGTCCATTTGTTCTCTGACAAGAAAGACTGTCAAGGCTTGAATATCATTTATGCTCAATCAAAGAAAAATGCTGATGGAAAACCAGGTTTTGATAACTCTTGACATGCCCCACTGGGGCACGGAGAAATGTATCACCACTTAGCATGTAGACTGTATAATGGCTCTGAAAGGCTCCTGCTTGTTGCTGCGGTCGCCTCTCCATCTTGCCAGACCTGTAGCTGCAAGATACGCATTAACTGAAGTGACAAATTACATAAACACATGTTTCTCAGCTGGCACTTCCCTGCTAAATGCTTATGAAACTGTTAACTGGAAAACAAAAGATGGATGGAAGAAGATCACTTTTACAAAATTATTTTTACAGAAAAAAAAAAAAAACAACCAAAGAAAAGCTTGATGTATGCAAGCTCACAGATATCTCGTATTTTACAGCTAGGGGATAGCAATAATTTTCCCCTGGTAATGAGTCTTTATGATATCAGATACAGAGAGATTTGCACTTTATTATTGAAAAGAGAGTCCAAATTAAAGAACTGACTTGAAGTGTAGAAATGGCTTTGGGATATAGTGAATACATAGCATCTCCCCTCTCACCATATAGGTGGTGTTTACAAGATTTTAAGATGCAGTTCGAACAAGTGTTTTATAATATAATAAAATTGTTGATTATGACATAAAGAGCCGTAAGATTTGACTTCTCCATTTTTTTTGTGCACACACTGGTCAAAAAAAGATCAACTGTAGAACAGATAATTATTTCGCCAAGAAAGGTCGGACCAGATGATCCCTGAGGTCCCTTCCAGCCTGATATTCTAATTCTATGACTGTAAAACTGCAGCGTAGTAAACATCAACATATTGTAGCTATTTTTTTCCTTTAAAACATTTTGCAGAATAATTATAGCTGGAACAAAGGAAGCTCAGAAAATTTCCACACTGGAGGTTTTTGCTTTTCTGGGAGGAAGAAAAAAGAAAACAGCCATAAAGAAGTTCTGATATTTCTAAATTCTAACAAATACTTTGTTTATACTGTGCTTTGCCACATCTGGCCTTAACTTTGGACCTCATCCAGTTTCCTGTAGAACTAGAGGAAATCTAGCTCAAAACTTTGGTTGTGCTATTTTCTAAATGGCATAATGCAACTCCCCAATTTAACCAGCATTTTCCTCTGCATCATTTAGTAGCACAACTGAAGGGATTTTCCTGAAGAAGTGAAGCAACTCCCCTTTTTATTTCTTTAAAATTGCAAGTGATCGCTCAGTGGCACATCCAAGCTTTAAAATAAGGTGTAGTAATTGATTATGTCATTATTTCCACATTTTGTCTTGGACATTCCTTTAATAATTACAAAGCATCTAATCTGCACTTAGAGTTACCCAAAGAGAATGAGTCTGCACAGAGAGGAACCCCAGCACCTATAAAGACAGCTACTAAAAATGGCAACGTGAGCTTTTACCCTAAGGCATGACATTCTCTTTAGGCCTTGGTCTTGCAAATATTTAGCATATGAGTAGGCCTACTAAAGCAAGACTCATTCATAAGCTTTTTCTCTGGTGGAGTTTTATTTATATATATTTTCAGGCAACATATTATGAAAGTCGGAAGGAGGAAAATAAACTGGTAATATGAGGTGAGCTAACCGTCAGTGTACATGTACAGGCTTTGACACAGCATCTCGACACAGCATCTCAACACAGAGAAATCTCAGTGAAGTCAGCGGCTAAGCCATACCATAAGTTTGTGTAATAAAGAAATTGCTCAAGGTTTTTTTTTCCCTTAGTGGCAAAAACCAATACTCCCAAGGGAACATCTTTCCTCTCTAGTGCAATACCCTGCAGATGTGACTAAACCTAAAAATAATTTCTAAGAAAAGGTTCCAGCATTTAACACAATGTACGTACTGCCTTTCTAACCCTTCCTTCATTCCTTGTCAAATGATGATGTAAAGAATTGCATAAGAAAACAAAACAAAAGATAAAAATTAACTTAATTTACACAACCAATAAAAAAGTTTAAGCAATGATAGAAAAATAATATAAAGGCTAGATACACTAAATGCCAGTTCAACAGTATTAAGCTTTGGTAGAACAGTTAAAGAGCATAGCACCAATAAAATCCAATGTCAATACATGCTTCAGTACGCATGAGCTGTGATGAAAATGTAAATTTTGGCAAGAAAAGTAGTGTACGTTCCCTGACGCCACAGTTTCATTTCAACATCTAACAAAAAGTCTTTAGGCTCTTTCACTTGTCGCTGAAGATAGACGATGCCCGTGTACGAGTTCAGCCTTCGAGTGCTGAAGTACTTTTCTTCATTTCCCTTGTTGATGGCAAGGATTATGTTGTCTCCAGCATAGGCAGGCGATGGTCCAATACGGAAAATATGAGCTGGGACCACAATATTGGTTTGGAAGTTCAGCTGGTAATAGGTAATGCGCACCGGGGTATTTTGGCAGTCCAGGTAATTAAAACAACTGATTCGTTCACACCTCCTAAGAGATGAGAAATGAAGCACATTCAGTGTCTATGCAACAGCAGGTAAAAATACATGTATTTCAGAGTACTGGAAAAGTATTAGACAAACAGGAGACCCAAACTTCAGCTGTGTAACTACCAGATGCTTGATCTGCTTTTACAGTGCCCATAAAGCATTTGTAAATGATATAATTGTCAGAGTACAACAGTGTAAGAAAAAGATCATGGACACAGGGAGCTGTGCTGGGAAGCTCTACAATGAGGAAAGAGCCAGAGTCATGTTGCGAGCAACACAGAGCCTGGAAGAGGAGTCTGTGCTTCGTCACTCCCAGCACCAGCCTGGGACAGCACTTCAAGAAAATAACAACAAAAGCACTTTAAAAGGTAGCCAAAACATGGGCATGGGAAACAAGCTCCTTGACTTGCAAAGCTGCTCAGTTCCATAAGGCAGGAAAAGGACCTTTTAAGTCATAAGCAACTAAATATGGTTTCCCAAAGCACTGGCAGCTGTTGGAGATTTTGAGGCTCCTGAGCCTCAGCTGCTGCAGAGCTGGGAGCTGTGGGGGTGTGCCATTCCTAGAAGCCTGTAGCCTGGCAAGCTCACTGTCCTGCTCCCCTCCAATGCTGCAACACTCGCTGAGGAACTGCAACCCAAATATTAAACCGGGAGCCCCAAGCCCACTGTAACAGTGGTGCACTGAGCAGCCTGGCAGCTCCCGCAATCATGTAAGCAGCATGGAAGATGTTGTTTTTTAAAAACTTAATTATAAACAAAACCCTTTTAGAGCTCTAGCAAGTAGAGCTGCAAGCTCTGATGACTGCTGTAATAGCAGCAGTTGGAGGGCAAACGGGGGCTCTAGGGCTTGGAAGAAGGAAGAGGCAAAATCAGACAGAAACTCTGTATGGGGAAAGTCAATGTGCTCCAGGTATTGAAGCGTCTTCCCAGAGCTCTGAGTGCTTACACCCGCCTGCAAACGAAAGCACTATGTAACACCCACAGTTGGGGACTGGGCTGCTCGCCACGTTGCGATGGAGATACTCACATGTCAGATACTTTTCTGTAGCTGGAAGGGCACTCGAAGAACAGGCAGCGGAAGCTGCCCTGGATGTTATAGCAAGTTTCCGCAGCTGAACAGTTATGGGTTCCTGTTGCACATTCGTCAATATCTAACAAGAAGAAACACAAGGAAAAAGAGATGCTAAGTTCAAAAATAAGAAGGAGTCACAACTTAATATGCTTATGAGGGCTCTGTGTGCATGAGAAACAAGAGAAGCCTGTGGGTTTGGCTCTGCAAACTGAGTGCTCTTGTCTTCACCACTGGGTTGCTGTGTGTTACCTCCTCAGTACCCATGCCTGCAGACCAGGACTGTGAGAACCCCAGAGGAAACACCTGGGGTGTGAAATGCACATTCAGGTGAGGTGTGTCAGGTTCATCTCTGCACAGGGACACTTGCTGGCATTTGAAGGGACAGGGTAAATCACCCTTATTCCAATTCTAAAATTCATGTGCCTTCTGCAGAAAAAAAAAATCTTCTTCCTTGGCATTATCAGTAAATAAGAGGTGCCAGCACTACTCAGCAGTGTGTGCAGTAAACAAGGGAGCCCACTCTTCCCTACAAGGAGCTTGTGATCCTTCTCATGCTGTTTGATAGTCCTTCCCCTGCCCGGCAGAGAGTGTGGCCAGTTGCAGCCACCCAGCACGTGGGCAGGGCTGGCCTTCTACTCCAGGGGAAGTTTGGTTCTTTACCTGTGCTTGGTACGCTCCTGTGAACATAGCTGTTCTCATGCCAAACATATCTCATGCAACACGGGGCTTAACTTTCAGTGGAGAATAAACGTGAAAAGGAAAAAAAGTTCTCAAAACCTGAGATCTTCCTGTCTTGCCACTTCCCACTGCAATGAAACCCAGGCATGAACATGTGTGGTTCAAACCAAACACGAACCTCTAGACAGAACTGGCTGTCTTGTCATATTCTTCCTTGCTCCTCAGATGTAAGTAATATCACAAACTAGGTTGAAAGGAAACAGATAACTAGATAGCGGTAGTCTAAGGCAGTGGAACCCTAAACTTCTCAGACCAGCCAACCTGCCCATCTCTGCAGCTGCTGTGTAAGCTTTCCACAGCTGTTCTGATTAAGATAGAGTTTAAAGGGTTTCCTGAAAGTGATGGGCCATTTTTTTCAGCTTCACAGGTCACTGGTACTCCCTGAATCCTTTTCACACGTAGAGCTAGCCTGTGTCATGCAAAGTGTTTCTGAACAAGTGTGTGTGATAAGCTCAATAGCTGGGGGAAGCATCCAGCTGGTTTCGAACAGCAGAGACTGTGCACGGACTCACACGTGGTAGACAGTGCCTGCAAGCACTGCAGCATGAGGGACAGTCCTAGATGAAAGATGGTCACCGCTATAAATGGCTCGTACACTGCATAACGTGTATGTGATCACAATGGCTCCTTCTTCATGGACAAGGCTGTGAAATGTCCATGTATCCCAAACAAACAAACATCACCCAGTCTGCAGAGGGGCCTTCCCTTCCCCAGAGTGAACACACGTAATGGATGGAGGGACACCCTACATCTGCCTACACATTAGTCATTCACAGCCTATTGGGATAAAAGCTACCTCTCAGGAATGAACAAATCCTATCAGAATATAACCAACCCAAGTCAAAAGCCAACAGGACCTTTTCATTGACTTTTTGAGAATAGATTAAGCTGGCTATGTCAGGAGGAGAATTTATCTACGTATGAAGGTTGCTCTGGTTAAAGCAGGGGGCAAATACAAAGCAAAGCAACTGCTGCTGTACAGCAGCATGATCCAGGAGATGTAAACTCCACCAGACTTATGAAATATGGGAACCTCAGAACAACACTTTAGAACAAGGCACACATTTTTGAAAATTTCAATTAAATATATATATCTTCCCATAATGAGAAACAATGTTACAGAACACCAAAAAAATCTTTTAAAGCTCAAATTCACTTTATGGCCTACAGCATAAATATGGTTACCTAAACAATACATATGTACAAACCTAAGCCATGGACCTTAAAATGCTGAAAGCCAGATGCAATAACAAGGATTCAGTTTGAGCAGAAAATATTGGCAAAGATCTCACAGTCACATTGTGTACTCCCAAATGTCTAGACAACGCACGGAGGCTTTAAAATGAAATAAACGCTAACAGACAAACCACGTGGACTGTGTAGGGCTCTGCAGTTCTGCCAACTGTCACAGAGGAAAGAGACTCTTTGAGGAAAACTATAACCTCCCACTCCCTCCATTCCCCTGGGATGAGAACTGATGTCATACACTGAATTGACTGGTTTAAAAGTCTTGCAAAGAAAAGTATACAATAGGAAGTTGGAGGGAATCAAAGTAAATGAAATCCCTTGCTTATTCTCAGAAGTGCCCCTAGGTGAAAAGAAAATTTCTTCCATATTGCAATCACTGTCACGAAAGCACTCACTTCACCAGTTTCGCGGTGCTGCAAAATACCATAGGCTTTTTCGCCAAAAAGATCCATATGTTGAGATGCTATTAAATGAGACCCAACTCGTCTCTTTGTAAAAAAGGAACAAAGAATGTACCACCAGTAACTCTTAAAAACTGGTCAGATGCAGATCTTTAGCTGGTGGAAACCAATATAATCTTCATGAGCTTATTGCAGCTGACATTGATTCAGACTGTTTCTCTGACCTTGTTTTCAGAGAGACCCCGGTACCTAAACCTGCCCAAACCTGTGACTACAAACTTGCACAGCTCAAAAGAAGGGGCATATACCCAGGGGTTACTTCCAGCACCTGAGAAAATGCTGGCTTACCCAGCCAGGCCCAGAGCTGCTGCACACGTGCTAAGTTTTGCAAGTAGACCAACTTTTCCCCCTAAGAAGGGTGCGTGTATAGCTGGCACAGGTACTTTGAAAAGCTTTTCCAAGCATTACTGTACAGCTCAGTTAGCAGAATTAGTCTATACAGCAGGAACCCTCCCCACACAGGGTGAGCATGCAGGGAGGATTTCACACCATGCAAACAACGCAAGCGCGATCCATAGGTCGGTGTGGCAAAACTTTTTTCTCCACCTCCAGCGCGGGGAGCATGCTAGGTGCCTCCAGCTCAGCAGAGCTGTGCTGGCCAATTAACACAGTGACTCACAGTATTAACTCTGGAAGATGTCCTCAGCTCAAAGCTCACTGCTGGCAGAGG